TGAATGATCGTGTGAGAAGGAGGGTTAATGTGAGAAACATGAGAACCCTTATCACTTTTAATTACAAACCCACATATGAATTGTTTGATACGGCAATTGATCTGGTACATCTTGGTGCATTTCATCCTGACATGCATCTGATGGTGGAGATCTTTTCTTACAATTCTCACTATATTAATGAGCTACGTCCCGGTAACAATGGACGTTATACTGAGAAGAGTGAGAAGGGATATCTAGACTATCGTTCGAATATATATATATATATATATATATATATATATATATATATATATATATATATACACGATATTTTGAAAAGTATAAAAAAAACATGGGCATTTTATGAAAGTAATAATTTGAGACGTGAAATACATTTTATATTAAAAAAAAAGTGGAGTAATTGTGTGGAGAAAAGAAAGACGGTCACATGGAAGTTGGAAGGATACAACATCTGGCACATGACATGACGGAATCATCATTCTAACACCCAATCTCTTGCCCTTGGTGTCTACGCCACCCATACAGAACACCTGAAACTCAACCACCTTTACTTTCTATTCTAAAATAAAATACTATACTATCACTTTTGGTCCCTATGCTTTATACTAAACTATCAACACTGTCCCTAAACTTTAACAATTATATAAATAGTCCCTATAACTTGCATTTTCCTACAAAAATGGTTCTTATGTTAACTTTGTTAAAATTTGTCTGTTAAGTAAAGCACATTTTAATTTTAATTTTTTTTACCTTTTTGTTTTGTCTTATTTTTTATTAGTTAAATTTCAATATACACATGTTTAATTTATATGTACAACCCATTAAAGCATTCCACCGACCACCTCCCCTCTCCCTTATTCAGTTAAGTTAGGATCTTGATGGTTTTCGTTGGGTTCTAGACCATGCTCCATTAGAGAAAGGTTAGGGCAGCAGATAGCGAACTTGCAAATGGAGTTATGGACGTCCAAACCACTAGGAGAGGACTATTAAATGATAGTTTGATGGCATTTTGTCTTGACTCTTGCATTGATAGTGTCACTAAAAAAACAAAACATTTTCACTGATGGAAAAATCCGACGGTAATCTGTCACTAAAAAATCGATCTATCAGTGATCCTTTGGTGATTATCAACAGATCACCGACGGACACACAAATAATTAATTTAATATATATATATATATATATATATATATATTTAACATGTCGGTGATCAGTCGAAAATTGTAAAATTCACTGATAGATTTATGGTTCATCAAGAAAATTGTCTGGGGTGGATATGTGTCGGTGTTCCGTCGACAATTACCGAGGATATTTAGCCGTCGGTGAAACTCAAATGTCTAGTAGTGTGTGGGTTCGACCCTAAGTACGTGTTTTGAGTCTAGGGTTGGAGAAATTTGGTGGTGACTATTTATATACTTATTAAAGTTTAAGGACAACGTTCGTATTTTGTGTAAACTATAGAAACCAAATTTGTAGTTTACTCTTAAAATAATCATCTTCCTTTACGAAAATGGATCATACTCTGATTAACTTTCTATTTAAGAAAGCATCTTTCAGTATCTTAATTTAAAGGTATTTTGTTACAAGAATACCAGTTTTAGCCTATAAACCTTTAAATATAATCACAATGGTGGTATCTGATTGGTTTGAGTTTGAGCTCTAAAAGTCAAAAGTGTTTGGAGGTCCCAAGTTCAAATCCAAGAAGGAATAAAAATTCTCTTGTGGTCAAGGAAGTTCAAATGCGGTGACTCCGGACTACCCGCAAAGCAAATGACCACCCTGTGGTTGAATATTCAGGTTAATAAACAAAAACCTTTTAGATATACATTTTACAATTATAAATTCTTAAAATATATTCACTACAATAAAATTGGTTTTATAGAACACCAAAAATGTCTAAATGTTATAATAGAATACTTATAGAATTAAAGTTTATAAGATCAAGTCACCAAAAATGGGGCTATCTAAAAGTGTTTGAATAAGTTTATAAAATCTTTTTTGACGTTTTAACAAGCTTTTTAGGACACATGTAAATTAAAGTATTGTTTAGTTATTTTATATAACATTTTTTGAGAAATGTCCTATAAACTCATCTTTTTGTAAGTTACTTATGTTTATAGGACAATTTTTCAAATAGTGTCATATAAAATACATAATACAACAACTTATTTTCAAAAGAATCTTAAAAGGTTTGTTAAAACGTTTAAAATCGTTCTATAAAACATATTATAATACTTTTAGATATGATGTTTTTTGGTTTGTTCTTAAAAAATTAAGTCCTACAACTAATATTATTAAAATGCTTAGACATTTTATACGTCCTATAAAGTCAATTTTACTGTATTGATTCTTTTTTAAAATATGTTTCTTAAAATATAAATGGAATGAAAACATGTTATATTTTAATATAATTCGTTAATAGCTTGTACTTATAAGTTTAGTTAAATTATTTTTGTCATTATGCATATATTTTATACGATCTCAACCCACTTTTACGGATTTATAACGATTAAAATAATGTGGGGATTTTGCAATATTATCTGAAATAATTGTTTGAGTGTTTATTAAACATCACATCTATAATAAAGACAAGATAGTACGATCTTCTATATCTCAAATTAGTAAAAACAATTTATCCATAAAAAGGAATTAAAGTGCGTTTTGTTTGATTGAATGGCTTTTACGCATTCGGATTTTGTTGAAGAATTTAGATTCTAAATGATTTTGGATTTTTGAAGTGTTTGGTTTGTGGGATTTTTATTAAAATTGAATTTCATTTTTTATAAATAATTTTAAAAACAAATTATAAAAACAATTAAATTATTTTTTGTTAATTGATTATTAAAAAAACAAATGTTTTAACATATTTTAAAACATTATTATATACAAAACCTTGTGAAATCCGAATCACCCCATGTGATTTCAAAATCATGTGTTTAGATTTCAGTAAAATCATGGGATTACAGATACAGAAAATCATTCAAACCAAACATGAGATTGAGATGAAATTTAATTTCCAATCTAACTGATAGAGAAACAACCCCTTAAACTTATTATATTTTGATTTAAAGTTTTTTGTTAATTCGGATTTATTATAGTTTAATTAAAGTTATAGTTGTTTGTTTACCTCTTAATAGTTCTATTAAGAGACAACCTATGAATCGTTAAGAGGTGAATCTTATTTGACAGAAAAAAGTCTGTCTCTTAATGGTTCTAAAATCATCTGAATGATTTTGTATCGTGGGTCTCCCTTAATCATTAAGAGCCCCGATTTCATTGTAAGCAATTACCAAACAATTATATTTTATTTTACATTATATCATGAGAGCCTCTTAATCATTATGACCACTTAATTATTATGCACCAAATCATTCAACAACTGTCAAACAATCCTTTATATTATAAACTTTTATTATTATTTGTTATAAAAATATTTAATTTATGTTACTACATTTGTTAAGTTAGAATATATAGGTGTAATAATAAAATAATAGAATTACAAACAATCTTGACCGCATATATTTTAAGTGACGGTTTAGATTCGAGAATAAAATGGGAGAATTAAAAGAGGATGGATTTCCATATCTTCATGTTCCCCACTCACCTGCTCCTCTCTGTGAATAAATATTTAAATAATAAACAAATTAAGTTATTCTTTGTCGGAGATAGAATCGGACGGTCAGGATTAATCCAGGTTTCGTTCTCTCGTTGGTTAGGAAATCACATCGAGAAATCAGAGCACCACTGCGATTGGTCCACGTTTCACTCATCTCCCATTTAAATATTCGATTTAAATATTTGATCATCTATATTTACAAAACATACCCCTAATCTTTACACCTGTTTCAAAATAAGGACCCTTATGTTGATATTAGCTCATTATAAACACAATATGTTTCTTTTTAACATTAAGCCAAGCTAACAAGCAATCTAACTTCCCCTTCTTCTTTTTTTTAGAATAAAAACATGGACATCCTACAAGGTACATCCTATGCTAACTGTATGATATATTATATGTTTTGTCCACATGGACTCACAGTTTAAAACACGTCTGATATAAGAGGTATCCACCCCTTATAAGTCAACTTTTGTGCTCCTCCTCAAATTAATGTGGGATCTTAAAATCCACCCTTCTTGGAAGCACAGTGTCGTCGTTAGCACACCAATTTGGTTCTTGGCTATAGCACCATCTGTAACATTCCAGACAAAGCGAACCAAATATTGTCCATTTTGTCCACACTTGAAGTCACAATTTTAAAACGCATATAATAGAAGAGGTATTCATCCACTTGTAAGACAACATTTTTCCCCTTCCGTAACCAATGTGGGATCGTACACAAGGAAACTAGCACAAAACAATATCACTTGTACCTATAAATTAACAATTAATGAATATGAAGCTAAATGATGGCACACCCTTTTCGTGACACTTCAACGATTCCAAGCAGATACCTGCAAGTTCCAACTGAAGCAATAAAAAGTACAAAATTATGAGACATATTTCTATGCCAGACGTGTATACATATTATTTTTAACAACCGTTGATTCTGATGGTGGTTACACAAAACGAATCATCATGTTAACATTATCAAGTGTCGTAAAAAAATTACACTATGACCGACATCCTTTCCTTCTTGAATCCGTTCATCTTGACATTGGATACAGGTAACTTGATGACTTTAGGCTAATGGGCAAATCTCACTCATTCCATTAATACGATTCACACACAATCATAAAACGTTAAACAATCACCAAAGTCCCTAGCATAAACATAGTTTAGATAAAGAGATGACATATTTAAGAAAAAATAGAAAGATAATGGGGTGTAAATGTAAATTTTAGAAAAACCTGCATAAATTTCAACAGCAGAGGTTTTCACCCCTTTAAAAGGAGCGTAAGACACTTGTCATCTCTTCCGAGCCAACAAGAACGAAACGACACGCAGCTCTCCTCCACCTTCTCCTTCTCATCTCTGTCACTCTAAAAGGGTAAAACCGTCTTCAAATTTTACACCTCCCCTTAAGATATTTCTCCCCAGTTTCCTCGTCTTTTCTTATGAAAGATTGGATTTTTAAAAACCCTTTTGGACTTACTGTGATGTGATTGGTCCAAACTTTTGTGGTTCATATTGTTCTTCGCTTTTGGATCCAGATCTTTGGGTTTCTTGGTTTATATCTGGTTGATTGATGATGAACTTGTTGCTTTGTTGTGAAGTATCTATTCATTCTAATCATGTTCATGGATAGCGTTATAGCTTTCTTACCCTTCTATCAGCTCACATGAAGAGGAAAACCAAAATTATCTCTGCATAAAGATTTTGATTTTGATTATATAGCTTCTTATGTTAATATCTGTTTTCAATTTGATGCATAGATGTGTATGTATGTATGTATGTATGCATGTATGTATGTATGCTTGTGGGTGCTTTGACTTTTGAAGCAACATAGAGATCATAGATTTTGATTCATCTTATATCTTCATTTTTTGGATTAGATTAAGGGATTAACATGGTTTTTGTTAGTTTTTTACCCAAAACATTTCTATTTTAATATCAAATTTCTGGGTAAAAATGATAGTTTTTAAGATAAAAAAGCAACTAAATCTTCACTTAAAAGTCAAACCTGGACTTCTTTAACATGGGTATCATTACACTTTTTCTGGGTTTTTTTTAATGAATTAATAATTTAATATTGCCATGCTTTGCTTATGAATATACTATTTGCATCTTGTAATTATTTTAAGGTTGAAGTAAAACTGGGTAGGTGATAATTGATTCTTTTTTTGTTAAAGATCTTGTAGTTACTAATTTGGGGTTCTTTACTTTATTAAGAAAGTTAATTGCTTTATGATTCTTTTCTCATTTTCTTCTCTTTTTGTTGATGATTTTGCATCTGGGTATGAAGAAAGCAAAGCCATAGGGATAGATTTGCAGTTTTTGAGGGGTGGTTTTAAGGGTTCTTGATCTAAGAATGGGTTCATTTATCAACTTCAAGAACTTTGGGGACACATCACAACCAGAACTCAATGGCAGTAGGCAAATGGTGTCAAATTCGCCACTGGCCCGGCAATCTTCTGTCTACTCGTTGACTTTTGATGAGTTACAGAACACATTGGGTGGGGGTGGGAAGGATTTTGGATCGATGAACATGGATGAACTTTTAAAGAACATATGGAGTGTGGAAGAGACTCAAGCAGTGGCATCAACTTCCAATTTTGGCATGGATGGGAGTGTGCAAAGACAGGGATCTTTGACATTATTACCAAGAACACTTAGCCAGAAAACAGTGGATGAAGTTTGGCGAGAGTTGCTTAAAAGTAGTAGTAATGGTGGATTCAAAGATGGGGAATTGATTTTAGAAGCAAATTTGCAGCCACCGCAAAGGGAAATGACTTTGGGGGAGATGACACTAGAGGATTTCTTGATGAAAGCAAGGGTAGTAACAGAAAATAATGAAGTTCAAACCAATGGAAGATCTGGAAGGTCTCAAAATGGCGCGTATTTTGGTGATGTTTCACAGCAGAATGTTGAAAATGGCAGTTTCATTTTTGGGTTTCAAAACCCAAATCAGAATAATGGGTTTCAACAGCAATCAGCTCAGAACAATCGACCAACGCTTAACCAAATCACAGAGAGTAAAAATGGACTCAATCTGCAGCCAAAACCACAACCACAGCCTCAGCCACCAGCTCAACCTCTTTTCCCCAAGCAAGCTGCTTTGGATTTCAGTGCACCATTGAATGGTAAGCTGACTAGCCCTGGTTCTAAGCTGACTATCCCTGGTACTAGAGTTGGGAAATCTGAGCACCCAATAAAGACTAGTGTGGTTCAAGCCAGTGGCATAGAGAGTGGAGTGATGAACATTAAGTCACTTGGCGGTCTTGGGACAGGATCTCCAAGGAATTTGATTCCAAAAAGTAATTTGGACACAACTCCATCACCGCCTTATTATGCATTTGGCGAAGGTGGTCTTCGTGGAAGGAAAAGCAGTGGGACTTTAGAGAAAGTGGTGGAGAGAAGGCGGAGGAGAATGATTAAGAACAGAGAGTCTGCAGCAAGATCAAGGGCTCGGAAGCAGGCGAGTTTCTTGAAACAGTTGACATCCATTTTCATATAATGTTTATGATTAACATTTAACAGTTTCTTGATTCAATCCCACAGGCCTATACTTTGGAGCTGGAAGCCGAAGTTGCAAAACTTAAAGAACTCAACCACGAGTTGCTGAAAAAACAGGCACGTTGTTCTAGCTTTACCCGTAATCATATTCATAAAAAAGCTTGAATCTTTATTATAATCTGCATTTCTTGCTAAATGGTTGTCACTTCAGGAAGAGATCATGGAGATGCAGAAGAATCAGGTATGTACATAATCAGTATAACTGTATGATGAGATCACTTTGATGTTGATATTTGATCCTTTTGACTCCAAAAAAGTCAAAACCAGACTCTTAAGAGACTAATTAAGCATGATATCTGGATTAACACTTGTTTTAGAGTAAAGTCTATACCAACAAGCAGATAAATGGCGATTAACTCACGGGTTTCATTTGCAGGTAGTTGAGAAGATTAAAATGCCATGGGGAAGTAAAAGACTATGCTTACGGAGAACATTAACAGGACCTTGGTAGGGTTAAGAAACAAATCATAGATTAGATGAAATGAAGTGAACGAAATCGGATATGAAGATTTGGGTATGTTTTTATACATATGGGATTGCAATCTTGTTAACTGCATCTGGGTGTGTATGTATAGAACCAGATTAGCAAGCACATGATGCTGCGTGCAACTTCTTTTTGAGAGGCATCCTGTTTGTAAGTTATCGATTACGTAGATCAAATGCAAACTTCTGTTGTATGAATTTTTGTTTGCTATCTTGTTTGGTTTACAGATTGTTGTAGAACTACTCTGGTTTGAGAATCTGGCTATGTTATGTTCCGATTAGTCTTGAGTTCTTGATATTGTATATATGAATATAAGCATGTGTTGATGCGCTTAAGCTTTGGGTCTGATTGGACCTTCGGTCGTCTCAGATCGTGTTTAGTTTGTCGGATTATGAAGGAATTGGATGGTCGATTCCACTGTTTGGTTTCTATATCAAATTTACAAAGGAATTCAAAAATCGTTAGGCCCCATTTGGCTTGTAGTATTGGATTGGATTTGGAACTGAATTTCATCCTAATCACATGTTTGGTTTAATTGAAATTCCGGGATTTCAAATCCAAGGATTTCAAAATCCCATGATGTGGTTGGTATTTCATAGGATTTCGTAAGATTTATATGCAAGAATGTTCTAAATATGTTTAAAATATTTGTTTGTAATAATCAATTAATGAAAGAGTAATTTAATTATCGTTATAATTATTTATAATTTGTTTTCTATAAAGAATGGATTCAATTCCATTACAAATCCTAAAAAAGGCAAACCAAGCATGTCAAATATTCCAAACCCTTTCATGAAATCCAAATCCCTCAAAACCACTTAATCAAACAAAAGTCCCCTTAATGTTAGAAAAGGTATTTTGGCAATTTAACATTATCTTAGGGTCTGTTTGGTTGGTTTTTTTCATCAAGTCTCGTAAAGTGTTTTTGTTTGGAAGTTTTTTCATAAATGGAAGGAGCATTTCTTAATTATGTGAGACAGTTTTGAAAAAAAAAAAACTTGGTTTTCTGCATAAATCTCCTCCTAGAAAGCTTATTGAATAAGTCACTTTCTATATCATTAAGCTGCCAAATAGTCATATATAGTTGATGGAATAAGTTGTGAATGCTGCTAACGAATAAACCATTAATGTTGCCCTGAAGCACATTTCATTCCGATTCTTGGTATTACGTTGCATTGTTTGATATTATTATGTATGCATTGTTTGATATTATTATGTATGCATTGCTTCATGTTTTGGTGGAGGAAAGGAATTCTATCCCTAATCAAACCACCTCCCACTTCTCAGGTCTGCAAATTTCACCCACAAAAGAAATTAAATTCGATGATCAGAAGAACATTAGGGTTCTTGCACTTACAAAAAAGTCAATTTGGGTTCTTCGAATGAAAATTGAACAATAAAGCATTAGGACGCATTCAATTTACCTTTTAAAAGAAGATATCGGCGAGTCAACATTAGTAGAAGATGGCTTCTTCCATAGTTGAAGGTCGACTTCGTATCACTTGGTGAAAAAGGCAGATTTCTATTCCCAGATCGACAACAATTCAGTGATCGCTAAAAACTGGTTCCACGGCCTAAACGGATCCGGCCATAACCGGTCCCGATTGAAAAAGATGAGCCCGATCAAGTTTTATTGTAATCGGTTATGGACCGCCGGTTATGGTCCCGGTCATTAATAACAATATTAAAAAAAAAAAATTAATGATATATATTTTTAGTACATTATAAAATTTGTAATTGGATGACTCAAATAGACTTTAAAAATGTGTTTTATTATAATTAACATTACATTGTCTTACAAAATATGGTGAGAAATCGAGAATTGTGAACTTTTTTTGCGTTTTTTACAAACCGAAAACTTGGTATGTAGACCCCTCAACCAAGATTCTTATATATAGTGTTTAGAAGGCAAAAAAGGGCCAAAAAACAGTGATAAACGGCTAGCTTTTAGAAAAACAACAGCTACATTTAAAAAAAGCAGCTACATTTTTTGAAAAATCGGGCCGGGCCAATCCATAACCGGTCCCAGTTCCATGAAACACCCCAAATCCATAACCGGTCTCATATTTCGATCCTATAACCGGTCCTGAGCCGGTTTGGCCATCACTAACAATGAATGGTTTATACACTATACACTAATATTAATTATTTTATATTATTTTTTAGTTATTATTTAGTATATTTAGTTATTAAAAAAATAAATATAACAATTTTAATAATGTTTATATAAGTTTTGTAACACCCACATTTTACCATGAGAAATGTTACGATAACATAAAACAGATTTTCCAAAAATACTCCAAAATAATGGCTAAACTAAAATTTTAGACTGTTTATAGCATAAGACTTCAGAAGAATAAATTTATAACTTATCTTTAGACTGTTTATGGCTAAACTAAAACTAAAACTTTTGTTAATAAGCTTGGGTCACGTATAACAGCCGATATTGACAATTACTACGATCTCAAAGTTTCTCAAATCGGCCTTCAAACTTTAAGGAAAGCATTTTTCTTCCTACTGATCTTCTCATCCCCTCCGGTATGGTTTCTTTTGCCACATCTCTCAATATGGTTTGGGGAAAGTTCTCGGTGTCTACAACAACTAGGGTTCGTCTTTATGTTGCACTGGTCACCAAGAACTCCTCCAAGTCAATGGCCCCTTCTCACTTTACATCAGTTATTGTCTCTAAAGAGGTTACATCTTCAGTCAGAAGACGACTGGCAGATAGTTTTCTACCTGCACCATCCGCATCTGCTTCTAAGGCTACGACTCTGAAGGAGCCTTCGGAGTCTCACCCGCCCTCCTACCCTTCTAAGATAAAGCGGATGCACTCTAAGTTATACACTTTTGGCTCTTCCTCTAAGAAGACCTAGAAACCTAAAAGGGCTAAACACACATCTCCAACCAAGGACCCTCAACAGTCCAAGGTTGTTGAAATTGGTCCTACTGAGCCCAGGACATCTGCTATTCACCCCCAACTCCTTAGTACCCGTCCAACAAGGCACTATTGTACACCCGGGGATCCCACATCACTCCACATCGGCGTCTCTACAGGACCTTGGTGATGACTCAGATATCTCCCATTTCTGAGACCCTTCTTCTCCTCCACATACTCATGGCTTATAACCCGAGATTGATAATCTCAATGATCTTACCCTGATGGATGATCTTTTAGCTACGGTTGATGATGACATCCCCTTTCTTAGTTATTTGCTTATGGATGTGAGTGGTGAGCTTTACCAGCCTACTACTTCTATTGAGATGGTAATCGACGACCTGTCTCTTGCAAGTGTTGTTGCTACAGATACTGAGCCTCACGTTGGTGTTGTTGATACAGATATTGAGCCTACGTCAATATTGTTGATACACATGTCCAGCCTTAGGCCAACATTGATGATATTCCCATCAGTGACTTCCGTGGCACCGATGATACAAAGAGTGTTGAGGTTCCTTTATAGCATAGGCCAGCAAGCCCAATCAAAGCTCGTTCGCCTACTCCTGATCACATGCCTTATCCTGATTCTTCTGTCGGGCCTACATCTTAACCGACTTTCAGGTTGCTGCTCCTTCTCCTGATATCTGATATGCTCTACCTCACGAAGTGGTAGACATGTTTCAAGTCCTCTCATCTCAGTGTCAGTTGTTTGTCTCTTAGCAAGCCATCTTATATACTGATCTTTCTAGCAAGTTAGACACCATTGCCACCATGGTTACTGCCCTGGATGACAGACGGGATATAGAGCTGCATGATTATGGTCGTACTTTTACGAAACTTGGGAACCATATTGATGCTCTGAGTGCCCGACTGGTTGCTTTCTTGGACTCTCAGTCTGATATTCTGCAGGATATGACAGATCTTTGTGCACACTTTGATTCTCAGGCTGATGTGAATCAAGCTATTCTTTGTTCTCTTGCTGATTTGGATTCTAAAGTTGATGCTCAGACTCAGATTCTAAGATGGTTTTAGAACAGGATCTTCCTGGCGTTTCCATTGACTTGGGTTGCAGTCAGTTCAATGAGCCAAATAGAGTATTATTGATTGCGGTTAATGTAAAACCCAAAATTTCGAGGAATAAAATAAGGCATCTTTATTATTATTTCTATTTTATTCATGAATATACATATATATATATATATGTTAAATAAAAGTTAGAAATTTGAAATAAGTCAAATTTGTTTATGGCTGATACTGAAGGCTCCAATTCGAGGGGGAGCCTGCTGCCAACTAGGGAGAAGCAGCAGAGGATCAGGCGGTGCCTGGTCCATAAGAGGAAACTGTGACCTGCATGGTTGCAGGCTGTGGAAGAGAGCAGTTCCCAGCCCAAAACTCGGGATTCTGCCGATTTGGTCAACTAATAGGCCAAATCGTGTGAGTATAAATTGAGGGCACCAGGTTAAGGTCGTTATTCTTTTGGGAGAAGAAGGGAATCATTGAGCTTGAAAGAGAGAAGCCGGAGTTCAAACCAGCAAGAAACCCCCTGCTTCCCGTCGTTTAGAGGTAAACACTCGACCAAATTTATGATTTAAACGATGTTTAGTTGTGACTTTGGCCCTGTATAGAACCCTAGAATGTGTTTTAGGGTTCGATTTCAAGGATTAGATTTCATTTGTTAAACACGCTGTATCGCATCCTGCTTAGAAGCCACCTTAGATAATGTTACACAGAAGCTCTGCATAAGAGCTCTGTATCAAGTGTGTTGGACAGAAGCTCTGCATGAGAGCTTTGTGTCATGCTAGCCAGAAGCTATGCATGAGAGCTTCGTATCAAGTTATGTTATAATGAAACTCTACAAAAGTGCTATGTATCAAGTTATGTTAGACAGAGGCTCTGCGTGAGAGCTTTGTGTCAAGTTGTGTTAGACAGAAGCTCTGGAGGAGGGACCACAAAGGGGCTCTGGCCCTTGGTATGGTACTATTATTCTAAGTATGGTTCAACCAGAAGCTCTGTAAGAGAGACGACAGAGGGGCTATGATCCTTGGTACCGAATTATTTTCCAAGGCTCAACCACAGAGGCTCTGGTAAATACCATAGAGGTTCTGGTCGTGAGACCAGAAGCTCTGGAAGAAAGAGACCACAGAAGCTCTGGTTGATACCACAGAGGCTCTGGTCGACACCACAGAGGCTCTGGCCCTCTCCAAGACTTAGCACAGAGGCAACCTTAGAGTTTCATCCTTAGCCCCGATGRCTTGATAAGACTTTTAAATGACAAGCGAATAGTTAACCAATGATAACCCTAGTCGACATAGTTGACCGTAAGTTGACTTTTATAGTCCTTGGAGAAATTTATTATTTATGTACTATTCGCTATTATAA